TCGACCGCACTCAGCAGCTTTGTGCAACGGTGCAGACCCACCCTACACCAAGAATCGCACAATTCACACGTGAGAGATAAAACAAAACACATACCTCGTCTTTGACGTCGATGGCCGCGCCCTTCGCGAGCAAAAGCCGAACGATCTCCAGATGACCTCTGCTAGCAGCTTTGTGCAATGGTGTTCGACCATCCTACGCCCGAAATCACACAATAACACACGTAAAAAATCAACGCAAAACACTAAACGTACGTAATCGTTGGCGCCGATGGCCGTGCCCTTCGTCAGCAAAAGGCGTGCAATGTCCAAATGCCCCTTCTCAGCAGCTTCGTGCAACGGTGTCCATGCATACTACACCAGCAATCACACTATACACACGTGAGGAATGCCTCACGCACCTTGTGTTTGGCGTTGTTGGCCGCGCCTTTCTCGAGCAACAAGCGGACAATTTCCACATGGCCATTGGAAGCAGCGAAACACAAGGCTGTATAACCAAGCTACACCAAGGTACATCAATCTCGATAAATAAATCAATAAAGGACGACGTACAGCGCTCTTGCAGTTGACATTGACGCCTTTTTTGAGATAGTAGCGGACGTTGGTCAAGTTGCCCTCTGTCGCAGCGTCGCGAAGCGCTTCCTGCATCATCGCATCCGCATCCTTGGGCCAATCGCGATGGACAGCACAGGCACATACCTCCTTCTGCGCCCTCTCCGCCTTCGACGCCTTCGACACCCAAGCAAACATTTTGCAAACTGACGCACACTACTGTTTGATTGGCCTGCTCATTGGCTGGCGCGCTGTGTTGGATTGGCTGCTCTTTTTATCCAATCACATCACGGCACCCTCCACAACCGACCGACACTTCGGAGATCCAGAAGATGGTTTCACATTGCCTGTCTGCCAGCGACGCTCTCACGCTTCACGACGTCCTGGGCGACCGACAATTACTCAAGTTTATCTGATTGGTTTTACTGGTGTAAATGAAGAACTGATTTCATCTATAACCGTCGGTTTCATGTTTTTCGAGTCAGTTGGATATGTCGCGCCATCCGGTACGTTGACGCAGTGTGTGCTTAGTGGTGCGCATCACAGTGAATTTGCCGATGGCATCGACAACGCCCGCCCACGGCCTCCGCCTCTCGTACTTGCGCCACTTTATCAACGAGCATGG